GGCGGGGAGCCCCCCGGCGCCGACAGCGGACGCCGCCTGCGGCGGTCTCGCGTGACGGGCTTTTCTGGCCGGGTTTTACCCTCGGAACGCGTGCCAGCGACGCTCTGGCGAGCAAACTCACTGCTTTTCCCCAATTCTATGATTTGTTAGCGAGATCTCTTGCACAGTAAAGCATTAGCTCAGTCCAAGTAGCACAAAGGTCAGCGAGACCAAATAGCAAGACTGAAATGCCCTCTCCTTTCACTAGGAAGGGAACAAACAACTGCAGCTGCGCATGAAAAATGACGTTTGGATGTGTGGGAAGCAGCAGAGCTGTTCAAACTGTAAGAACATACAGTGATTTCATAAAAGTAAACCTCAAATTCAGCTGCACTCGCAGGCAATTTTTTGGGGGCCAAAAAAAAAAAAAAAAAGCTTAAGGAATAACACAGCAGGGCGAAGAGGGGCTACTAACACTGCCTACGCTCCAAAGTCCACGGTGACAGTCAAGAACCGCGTTGCGTATGACGAGAGCCCGAACGAAGTGCGGAGACGGTGGACGTACGGCAGCCAGCCGTCCCGCACAGCCCGTAACCCCTGTACCTGTTCGACCCCGCGTGGCGATCTCGCTCGTCAGCCTCTCAAAGTACTCGGGCAAGTCCGCGTATTCATCTCCGTAGGAAATCACTTTAATCCCTTTGTCCAGCATGTTCTCACGGAGCTTCTTAAACTCATCCACGTCTCCCCTCCGCACGAGCATGAAGTGCTCCAGGTCTGACTTGTGCTTCACAGCCTCTAAAAACAGGGCCTGAAACGTGGTGTCATCAACAGTCCAACCACAGCCCAAGAACAGGAATGACTTATTTTCATACAGCTTCTGAATCTCTCGCTTTAAAAAAGGGAAAGGTGTTCTTAGTCAAGGCAAGTCTTATCTTCACAAGGCACAAGAGACAGCATCTGCCTTATCCCTGAGGAGACTCTTCAGGAGTGTCATCATGCAGCCATCCTCAACACAAACGTGCGGAGGTGGTTTTGCAGGTTAGCGGGCTAGAGAATCCATCCCTCCCCTTCTATTCCACAAAATTAAGGACCCTCCCACCACCCTGCGTGAAGCCCAGTCTTTAAACTCAGCTGAGGCTATGCCCGGTTAACATACGGGCCCGGCCAGGCGCCCGCATGGGAAGTGGGATTATGCATATAGACGACGGACGGGACCCCAAGGTGTGCCCCGCGGAGAGAAGGCAGGGCTGCCTCACCATGACCTCCGTGTTGCGCAGCACGTTCTGGTACCCGGCCGGGTGGAGCACTATGCCGCTGGGGTTGGTGTAAACGCCGTGGATGTGCAGGACGCTGAGCTTCCTCTTCTCTTGCGCCCACTCCAGCACCTGCGCAAAACAAACCCCTCCAGAAACGTTAGCGAGCCCGTCACGTTAGCTTCCACGGCGCTGTTAAAAACACCGTGCTGGGGAAGCGTTTCGAAGAGGCAGCTTCTTCCTCATGTTCCATCTCATCTCCTCAAGAGGTCATGAGTCCATCAGCCTCTACATCACGGCCCGCGGCTACAGCCTACGGCGCTTGTTTGGGTCAACGCTTCAGCTGAACGGTGAACGCGATGGGAAGAGACCGAATCAATACACCGGACTCGGCAGAAAAAGGGGGAAAACTATAAATATAAAGTCAGCATGTTTCTCAAGCCTGCAGAGTTTTATTTCTTGGCCCCTCGAGGCTCTGAGAAGATCTGAGGAAGCTCAACAGCTGACCTTCATTTCAGAAAGCCACTTCCGAGGCCCTCGGTTTACTCCTGCAGACCTTGGCCCGTTTAAGCTTGTAATAATTAGAATGCTTATTTGTAACACCGT